TGGGAATCAACCATTTTTTTAAAAAAAGAAATATCTGGAACAGTAATTGCTGAGAATGTTACAAATTAATGTCAGACACCATATCACAAATACAGGAAGCTTTCTTATTTTGAAAGAAGCCAGAAGAAAAATGCACCTTACCTGTAGAGGAGCAGAACATTCAACTTCTCAGAAACCATGCAAGCAAGAAGAGAGTGGAGTGAAATATTTAAAAATATTTATTTAAAGTGTTGAGAGAAACAGCTTACCTTATTAAGAACATGAACTCAGATAGCTCTAGGGATCTAGACTAAGAGAGCCTTTGAATGACTGAGTTCCACCTGTCAGTCTAACTCAAGACTTAGATTCCCAGCAGGGTCGGATTTGCCCAACAAGCGTGATCATCCCACATGTGGCTGATGGCACAAGGCACTTTGATTAACCAAATGCTGGCAGCAGCTGCCACCTCCACCCCCCGGTCATCACTACCACAGCACCATGTTTCCACCCCTACCCCAGCCCTAGAGGCTGTGGAGCAGCATATTAAGGACCACTGTACTGCATGATTCCTAAAGCTGTTTCCATTTAAAACAATCAGATATTTCTGTTGCTAAGCAAAAGATTTACCATTCTTTTTTTTTTCTTTTTTCTTTTTGTTTTTGTTTTTTCATTGAGACAATCTGGCTCTCTCACCAGGCTGGAGTTTGGAGTGCAGTGGTGCTATCATAGCTCACAGAAGTCTCGAACTCCTAGGCACAAGCCATCCTCCTGCTTCGGCCTCTATAGAGTATCTAGTACTGTAGGTACCTGCCATCATGCATGGCTAAGTTTTAAATTATTTTGTAGAGATGAGGTCTTGGTATGTTGCGCAGGCTGGTCTCAAACTCCTGGCCTCAAGTGATGCTCCTGCCTCCGCCTGCCAAAGTGCTGGGATTATAGGCATGAGCCACTGTTCTAGGCCTGCAATTTTATTTGAGTAAAATGTTTGTCTCTTACTTTTATCAGAAAGTTCTTCATTTTACTGTTCCCAAATATCTAAACTGATCCTCATATAGTGCCATATGAAATATATAAGAAATTCATCAGTTTGTTTCTTCTGTTTATTTCTTCTTCTTCTTCTTTTTGAAACACTGTCTTGCTCTGTCTTTCAGGCTGGAGTGCAGTGGTGCAATCTTGGCTCACTGCAACCTCCATCTCCTGGGTTCAAGGGATCCTCCTACCTAAACCTCCTCAGTAGCTGGGATTACAGGCTCCTGCTACCATGCCCAGCTAATTTTTGTTATTTTCAGTAGAGACGGGGTTTTACCATGTTGGCTAGGCTGGTCTCAAACTCCTGACCTCAGGTAATCCTCCTTGGCCTCCCAAAGTGCAGGGATTACCGGCGTGAGCCACCATGCCCTGCCTCTTCAGTTTATTTCTTTAAGGACACATACTTCAGAGCCAGACCCTGGATTCAAATTCCACAATCATAGCTCTGCTGTTTACTAGCAGTTACTTCCTTTCAGTTTTTACATAGTCTTACTCTGGGCAATTATGTAATCTCTTGGTGCCTCTGTAAAATGGAGATGGTAATAGTACCCATTTCATAGCGTTGCTGTGATGATTAAATTAGTATGAATGAAGCATTTAATATACTGCCAAGAGCATTAGTATAAATGTATGCAAGTATAAGCTATTACATTTGTAAAATGGATATTACTAATTAAATTTCACACAGGCAACATAAAAAAACCTGAAAAGCTTTTTGGTTGGAAGTTACCTCTTAAAAATTAAATTACTGGCCAGGCATGGTGGTTCACGCCTGTAATCCCAGCATTTTGGGAGGCTGAGGCAGGCAGATCACTTGAGGTCAGGAGGTTGACACCAGCCTGGCCAACGTGGTGAAACCCTGTGTCTCTACTAAAAATACAGAAATTAGCCGGACGTGGTAGCATGTGCATGTAATCCCAGCTACTTGGGAGGCTGAGGCAGGAGAATTGCTTGAACCCAGGAGGTGAAGGTTTCAATGAGCCTAGATTACTCCCCTGCACTCCAGCCTGGGCAATAGAGTGAGACTTGTTTAAAAATAAATAAATAACATTAAAATTAAAATTAAACAACTTCATCTGGAGAAGCATTCTGCTGTGGCATTTAGCTTAGAACTGTACTGTGAGGAATACCAGTGAATTATTCATTCCTTAATTCAGTATTTTTTGAGTGCTTGCCAGGCATATGCTGTATTCTAGGAAGACAGGGAATTTACACACTAGTAAAGGAAGTGGTAACTAAGTGAACAAATAAAGCCCAGGATAATTATCGATGTGGTAAGAGCTGTGAAGGAATCAGCAGAAAGGCCTGGGAGGATTTGTTGTGAGCATGAAGCAGATGAGAGGCCTGGGCTGGACTGTGGTGAGCTGTGGAGAGAGGAAACAAGAGCTGTTGGAGAGGGTGCTGGAGCTGTGTTCTGCAGGGCCTTCAAAACTCCAGCAAGCCGCTGGGAATATACAGGGAGTTTGAATTTCTTTTCAAGGAAGCTGTGAAGAGGGGTTTTACCCAGGGGAGTGTGCTGGTCTCCCAGCACATTTACATTTGGTAAAGTTGTTTCTGTCTACTGCATAGAGAATGAATTGGGGAGGGGCAAGCCCATCCTGGCAGTAGACAAGGCAACACTCCAGGGCTAGGCTGAGTGGCGGCAATGAGGTGGAAGGAAGTGCATGCAGTCAAGTCAGATCACACACATTTAATTTGGCGGTAGACTTGACAGGTGGTGATGATGGCTTGGATGAGGAAGACAATGAGGAGGCAGGGACATTACCTAGATTTTTGGCTAAGTGCCATTTTGACAGTATGCATTATATTCTATTATTAAACTTTTTTTTCATTTTGACATGATCCTTCCCTCTAGGGAAAAGACCCCGTAAGTGCTGAGGCAGGAGCCAAAGCCTCAGCCTATTTCCATATAAATAATGAAGAAGAAAGTAACTAGAAATATAGTCGTAGTCTTAGTTAATCATAGGTGATCTTAATTCTTTTACTAATGCCTCTCAGATCGGAAGTGTGAATCTGGGGGTGACATTGTGAAAAAAATGACACTAAGGCAAGATGCTTTAAGCCCTCTGTCATGCCTGCGTAAGGGCTGCTGGAGGGCGCCTTGGCTGTGCGGCAGTGGCAGTGCCAGCGCTGGGAAAGTGCCCGCTGTTTAGCCAGCCAGGGAAGGAGACGTCTAAAATAGCTGAGATGTCTCCTTCCCCTGAGGAGTTAGGAAGAAACTCCACTTCTCAAAGCTCTTGTGGTAAGGCCTGACGGCTGTCAGGTAGACCTGCAGACATCTGGGGGCTTAATTGTCTCCATGTGATGCTGTGCTTCAGTGGTCAGGTTCCATGTCTACTCTCATGTTATGCTTCTGCACCTGGTTTCTTTTTTCTTCGAAAAGATAATCAGTAATAGTAATATAAATCTTAATGTTTTTGTTCTTTCTTGATAAGTATGGAAAAGGTGCTGATGCATTATGCTCCTTACTCACTTCGGGTGCCAGAAATTCCTAGCCCCTACCTAAATGACATGTGATGTACTTGACCCTATCACTGCCATGCTTTATCTACCCTGTCCCAGTCTCCGACCACCAAGACCACGCCCTACCTACCCTGCCCCCAGATTTGCAACCCAATTAAAGTGAGAGCATCCAGGCATTTGGGGCCACTGCTGGTCTCCTCGATTTGGGTAGCAGTGGACCCCTGGGCCCAAACTCTCTTTTCTCGATATCGGTGTCTTGTGTCTTTTATTTCTACAATTTCTTGTCTCTGCCCCAGCCGGGAGGGGCTCACAGAACCCTGTAGGGCTGGCTGGACCCTACACTTCCCTAAACTGTAAATGTTCTAGTATGTGTACTGCCCACGTGAACATAAAAACTGCACGTTTTTAGGTATTTTAAAACTTTAATTTTCCCAACCTAGATTTTTTTGCATTGCAGCCAAATTGTACAGTTGTCTTAAATTTCTTCTGGTTTTCTTGTTTGGTAATGGGAACCTCCTTTGTTGATATTTTGGATATTTAATTGGGAGCATTTCACCTGTTAATTATGGCTGTTGAGGATTTAAACTTACTTTATTTACCACCAGTCTTTTGAAATTAGATTGCTGAATATCCTCCCTCTACTGGAGAGTGTCAGAGCCTGTGAAGGCCTGCACCTATTGAGAGGCAGCCTTTCCTCCTCTGCGATTCCTGCTTCCAGCTTCCACTGGCGATGGAGGGGAGGGGTGTGGGATGGGAGGGGGCACCTGGAGCTGCTGAACCAGTTCCATCTGTGTAACTCCATTGTTCTTTTTAGCATGGCCTTCAAGGGTAGGAAGTCAGGCTTATAAGATTTTATCTACTGTCACTTAGAACCAGTATTCCTCCTCAGAAATTGGAATTTACTATTATTTTACTAAAATAGGGCTTCTTGTGAATGAAGTGAGATCAAGCATATAAAGCAATCTTTAGTTAAAAGATTGCTTAAATTGATTAATGTGGAATGAATTATTTTACTTTTTTCTAAGAAATGAGAAACTGGGAAAAAATTCATTAGACTGTAATGCATAGAGATTTTTTTACATCTAAATGAGAAGCCAGAAATTCATATAAAACGTAAGAACTTCAAAAACATTTCTTAGGCACAGACTTATTAAACATTCGTGGATGTTTTTGATTTCCTATTACATTAAAATACTCAAATCAACTTCATATTTAGAACATTTAAAAATAGCTCAATCTTAAAAAGAAGATATAAAGTATTATCAGCTGTGCTTTTTGTGCATAATTAGCATGTTCCTGTGGAGGTATAATGACTTCTAGTCTAATGATAGTATCATGATAAAAAATTCAGATGGTAAAAATTGGAGCTCCAGCTGGATAACACATTTTATAACAATTCAAAGATGACTCCAGCATAGAAGCTATGCTATTTTAGTTCCTTGTAATCCCCTCTTCACCCATCAGTGGGTCATGTAGGCACTGATAAAAGAGCCTTTTAGAAATGCTTCTATTTGTTCCCTTTCTTACAGATTTAATGTATGCCCACTATTTCCTTCAGTGCTGGACAGGCTTCTGTGAAGGGGACGTCACCTTTTCCCTTTTTCCAAGATGGCTCAAGATTCAGTAGATCTTTCTTGTGATTATCAGTTCTGGTTGCAGAAGCTTTCTGTATGGGATCAGGCTTCCACTTTGGAAACTCAGCAAGACACCTGTCTTCACCTGGCTCAGTTCCAGGAATTCCTGAGGAAGATGTATGAAGCCTTGAAAGAGATGGTAAGTAGTAGACCAAAATAATGAAATGATTTTCTGTCTTCAGGGTCTCTACCAGATTTCACCAACACAGAATGCCATCCAGAGTTGGGACTTGTGGTATTGACTGAAGTGCCAATGGATTAGGAAGACAAATTACCCAAGAGCTGGTTTCCTAGTCTCTGATTCATTATATTACTATAATTTCTTCTTGAGTAGCTGTATTATCACATGAGACTTCCTGACCAAGCAAGTTGTTTTTAAATAATCAAGATTTCATGCTTGTTGTCAAGTAGTAAATGGGATTCTTTTAAAGGCCTTTGTGTCCCTTGAATCTTGGAGAATTTGCTACCTGCTTAACCTTTCCTCCACCCTGTTCTCAAGTGGGCTGTCCTAAGAGATGATAAATATTAAGATTTTTTATAAATGTAATATTTTTTATAAATATTAAGATTTTGAGTATCTTTACTGTTATATAATTTGTTATTTTCAAAATTTAATATCTTTATGGATGTCATGTTTCTTTCATTATATTTTTATGACTTGGCACTTGTTTATATATTATGAGCTAGTATTTTGCATTTAATTCAAAATGAAAAGCAAAATTGTCACTTAACAAAGTGCCCTTGTGTTAAGCTTTTCTTCCCTTAATCAACGAGCAAGTAGGAAATTTGAAGAATAATTTGTATTGATAGTATGTGTTCATATGTCTTTAGAAACTAGAAGGAAGATACAGTCTGTGTGAACAACCAATGCTAATTTAAAAAATTTTTTTTAATGAGACATATGTAACTTGACTTTTATGTGGTCCCAGAAAGTCGAGGACCAGCCTTGATGCTGGGACACAAGTGAGAGACGTTTTGCTGCCGCAGCAGGAAGTACCCATCGTTTCAGCTTACCTGCACATTAGTTTGCTTTTATTTTTTAACTTTTATGAAAGGGAAGAAGTGGATAAAGGTCTAGTTGTACAATAGCATGTGTGTTTTTAAATCTTAGGCTGTTTTCTATTTGGTTGATCCTTTTTTTGTCAGGGTTTAGATTGTTACAGACTACATATGATGTCATTTACCATACAGTAATCAAAATAGTAATAAACAGAGATATATACATTTGTGCTTTGGCTGTTTTTATTTCTTTATTCAAGTTCCAGAGTTCTTGTTCTTTTAAACCTTCTTTGAAATAGCCTTAGTGGAGCTGAGTTAGTAACCTCTCTTATGTTAGAATAAAAAACCAGGATGAAGATATAGGATTATGTGGCTATTGATCACCAATATTGTGTTTTCCCTTTTTTTTTTTTTTTTTTTTGAGATGGAATGTACTCTGTCACCCAGGCTGGAGTGCAATGGCGAGATCTCAGCTCACTGCAACCTCCTCCTCCCAGGTTCAAGCAATTCTCCTGCCTCAGCCTCCCAAGTAGCTGGGACTATAGGCACATGCCAGCACGCTCAGCTAATTTTTGTATTTTTAGTACAGATAGGGTTTTACCATATTGGTCAGGCTGGCCGTGAACTCCTGACCTCAGGTGATCCACCTGCCTTGGCCTCCCAAAGTGCTGGAATTACCATTGTGAGCCACTGTGTTTAGCCCAGTAATGTGTTTTCAACTCTTGAGCAATCTTTGTTATTTTTAAATAAAGCAGCCTTTCCTGAGTAGAATTAATTTTGCAACACAATTGATTTTACCTAACTATGTCATACATCTTAGTTTGGTGACTAAGGATGAAATAAGATGGTTGGTTGCTTTGTAAGCTTTATTTGAATTACTTAGCTAAAGATCCTCTCTAATCCTTTTTTTGCCACCTTTCAAAAATGGTATACTAAACAAGAAGCATTCAGGCTCCCTCAACCTATATCAGTTCAGTCTCTCTGAATTGCATAATGCCTTTACTGACCAAAATTTAATTTTCTTTCACAGGATTCTAATACAGTTATTGAAAGATTCCCCACAATTGGTCAACTGTTGGCAAAAGCTTGTTGGAATCCTTTTATTTTAGCCTATGGTAAGAATCCAAAATGAGTCCTCTCAAAATGGCTATTTTAATCTTTGCATTGTTTCACAGAGGCTTATATTATGAACGTTTCTTTTATTATTTCTTTTTCTGGAACAGCTTATCAAATGTATTCATTGTTCCATTACAAAGATGGCGTCCTATACTGTTGTTCATGTCTGTGTGTGAGGTTTGTATAGACACACACACACACACACACACACACGCACGCACGCACGCACACGCACCCACGCACGCACACGCACCCAGTGCAGATCTTTAGGAAAATAGAGCTCTTTGTATTAGATGACAGAAATTTCTAAATGATTTAGATATCTATTTTTGCCTGTAATCACTTTCATAACTTAATTTTAAATTCAGTATAAAATGGCTATACTGATGATACCGGGTTACTTTTGTTTCACGATTTTATAACAACTCACACTGTTTCCCATGTTGTAAAGTCATACTTCAGAGTCTGAATCCTGCCGTGACTTTGCCTTTGCATTTGGCTGCTTTGACTTTATTTAGGGGTGCCATTTTGCTTTTATTTAAGGTTGAGAGGCATTTGGGGGCACTTTGGGGAGGTCTCCTTCATTGAGCTCCTGCTTGCTGTCCGGTCTCATTTCCTGTTTCATCTTCTACAGCTATACCTCATGGTAGTAGCTGGGTCCTATTACTAACAGTGCTTGAAGGTGCCTTGCATCAGGATTTCTTTTACACTCATTCTCCTTTGCAGTAGCCTTACTGGGCTGAGTTAAGAACTGCTGGGAGTGTCTCCATGACCTCCAGCATCTTCCTTTAATACACTTACTTCACTGTCTGATGCTCTGGAAGACAGCATGCCTCTCGAGAACAGGAACCGTGGTTTTAGTTCTCTTTGTCATCCTAGGGCTTCCCAAGGAACATGGCTGAGATTTGCCTTGGATGGATGTATTGTTAGCTAATGTAATATTTACTTTTCAGATTTTTTAAAGTCAAAGGCTAATTGTATAATATGACTTTAGAATCCAAAATAAAATGAATATTCCCCTTTGATGTTTTAAAGAATCATATAGTTTCCCATTTCTAGGCTGTCATAGTAATTATTGGAAGATACGTGAACTAGGCAGGAAAGGGACAACATGTGTATTTAGCTCTGTGAACATGCGTGCATGGACACCCACACACTCAGCCTCGCTCACTGTACCCCACCCTCCTTTTTCCCACTTAACCTCGTCCCCCAACCCCTGAACTTGTTCAAATTCTTGATTCAAAATGGCAAAACTAGTGAGTCAGCAGTGTGTTTGCCCACTAGGGCTACGCTTACCTGTCCTGGGTTTATCTGTTGTAGTTAGGTCAGTGTTTCTCAAACGTCTTTGACCAGAAATACATTATGTACATGTGTATGTGTGTATATGCATATGCACATGGATGTGCGCACATACACACACAATAAAACACATCTCATGAAAGAATGCATACAATAGCCCCCTCCTTTGACTTTTTGCAGTTTCAGTTACCCACAGTATAGTACAGTAAGATTTTTTGAGAGAGATCACATTTATATAACTTTTCCTTTTCTTTTTTTTTGAGGGGGGGACAGTTTTGCATTTGTTGCCTAGGCTGGAGTACAATAGCGTAGTCTGGGCCCACTGCAACCTCCACCTCCCAGGTTCAAGCAATTCTCCTGCCTCAGCCTCCCAAGTATCTGGGATTACAGGTGCCTGCCACCACACCCAGCTAATTTTTGGATTTTTGATTGAGATGGGGTTTCACCATGTTGGTCATGTTGGTCTCAAACTCCTGACCTCAGGTGATTCGCCCACCTCGGCCCCCCAAAGTGCTGGGATTACCGGTGTGAGCCACCTTGCCTGGTTTAAGGGATTAACAATGACAACAATTGCAATAAATCAACTATAACAATATTGTTAACATATACATGGGGAGGTTTATGATGTAGTGTGAGAGGCATTGCTCACTTTGTGCTGGGCACTGTTCTCTCTGGACTACATAATGGACCTAATTGAATTCTTGATGACAGTGTTGTGGGATAGAAAATTATGGATTAGAGTCAATAAGTCGCTTTCCCTAGAATACAACACTAATGAGCCAGAACCTCACTTCTCATGTGACTTTAAAGTCCACCTTGTTATAATGTTCTAACTCCATTGGATCACATCCTGTGATTGTAGTGTTCCAGTACTGGCATTTCCACTAGCCAGTTTCACTTGTGTGTACATAATCATTCAGCAGGTATTTACCAAATGGTTTTATTTATTTATTTATTTATTTAGAGACAACCTTGTTCTGTCACCCAGGCTGGAGTGCAGTGGCATGATCTTGGCTCATTACAACCTCCACCTCCTGGGTTCAAGCGATTCTCCTGCCTCCCACTCCTGAGTAGCTGGGATTATAGGTGCTTGCCACCACGCCCAGTTAGTTTTTTGTATTTTTAGTAGAGGTGGGGTTTCACTGTGTTAGCCAGAATGGTCTCTATCGCCTGACCTTGTGATCTGCCCGCCTTGGCCTCCCAAAGTGCTGGGATTATAGGTGTGAGCAGGCGGCCTACAAAGTGTTTTTTTGTGTGTGTGTGCCAGCCCTTAGGAAAACGTGGCTCACCGTCTTTGCCCATTGTGACCTTCCAGTCAGGGAAAAGAGATACCTAAGCAGGTCAGCCTCACTCAATGTGATTGTTTTCTGAATGGGAGTAGCAGTTGCTGAGAGGAAAGAGGGTTTCTCAGGAGAGCCCCTACTGGGACTGACTTGAAGATGTGATTCTCTAAGACAGGGCAGCTGAACTCGTGGGGTCTCATATTCCCTTTTTTTTTTTGTAAAAGTAGGAGGTCAGATTGATTTGTTTTGGTGTCCTTGAACTCATATCTGTCTGTGATCTTTCCTTAGCACCTTATCAGCATTGGCCTTGGCCCCCTCTAACAACCAGAAACAAATTCTCCATCCCTTTCTGTCTCAATGCTTGTGTTACCTTTTGAACTGCCCATAAATTTCAGTTTCCTGTTGAGGTATGCCCTGGCTATGAGCTCAGAGAGGCGGCTGAACGACTTGAAACTCCATGAGCAGTCAAATGTTGCTTGTGTCGCCCCTGCTGTTTCACAAGTTGGGTACTTTATTCCTAGAAGGGATCTTTTCTTGTGGTTTTATAATATCAGAATTGCTTTTTAATTACAGTAAAAGCAAACAATTTTCATAATGGAAAAAAGTAAGCCATATGTAGTGTTCATGGAGAATAGGATCAGAAAAGGGTAATAAGGAAGTAGGGATGATTTGGAAATAAAAAGATACCAAAAAGAGAAGAGACATAATTGATAATAATGGAAAGCAAGAGAACACCTTTTTATTCGGCAGTGTCCTCAGCATAAAAACACTGCCTTTACCTTCTGAAATTCTGGTCCATTGCCTCTAACTCTGCCCTCATGATGAAGCGTAACAGCTGTTACCTCTCTTCTTGACTATTCACTCTATTCTGTGTAACAAATTTCTGCCAAACTTAGCAGCTTAAAACAGTGAATATTTATTGTCTTAAAAATGTGCTGACTTCATACTTTTAGAGTGTAGAATTAAAGATTAAAGAATTAGTTCAGCTTTTATGTGGAATTTCAATTCCAGATATAAAAATAAAATATAAGGTGGCAAGTGTATGTTAACGTCCTTTCCCTTCCACTCATTTTTAGAATCCAAATTTACACTAAGATGGGCTGTCAGCCACTGTCCCTGCAGTGAATCCCAGGCAGTTTCCCATCTCCCTTAACATGCCTTGTGGGGTGTTCTAGCCCAAGCTCAGGGCCTCCAGGGGAAGCCTGACAGATGCCAGCCTCTGGAGTGAGTGCTCGTGGCACTCATGAATAACAAGCGTGGCTCATGTTTGTAAATTGCCTAAGCAAAGCAAGCTGTAAGCTCATTAGCAGTGCATTTCAGTGCATTGACTCTGGGCAAGGAAAGTCAGCTCCTAAAGGTTGGGTGGAAGTTTATCTGGCTTCTCTTTTTTTAATTTTTTGGGAGAAAAATAAAAAAATAATATACTTTTTGAACTAAGTTTGCATAATCACTCAACACCTGGGGAAACCCCCAGTTTTGGGGATTCTTTTAGATTTAAGTTTCATAAACTGACGTTTCCTTTTTTTTTTTTTTTGGTGGTAAGTGTCTGGTTTTTGGAAATGCTCCCATCAGATCACATTCTTTTTAACAACCTGCTGCATGTGTAAGGATGTCATTGGGTGCATCTGTCACACTTGCTGCATGAAGCTAGGTAGAATTTCTCCTAATATTTAAACCGTGGGAAGCATAACAGCCACATTTTTAATCAGTGGCATTGGTTAAACCTGAAGAACCCTAGGATCTTTAGTGGTTAAATTATATAACTCCTGAAATGAACAGATCCCAGACAAGTCAGTGCCTTATAATACTTTATTTGAGCTCATAAAAGCGAGGGGGAAAAATGAATGGCCTCAGAATAACCCCTGATAAAGTTTTTTTCAGAGCTGTTAAGTTATTGGAAAAGCATAAGCTTATGGATATTCACAGGGAAAAAATGGGTTTAAAAATTACTGCTAGCATTTTTTAGTTTGTGGATAAAAATACAGAAGTAGTTTACTAGAGTTGGTATTGCTTTTATTTCTTTGTTAATGAAGCCCTTAGAAATGCTGTGTTTTGGCCAGGCATGCTAGCTCATGCATGTAATCCCAGCACTTTGGGAGGCCATGGCAGGAGGATCCTTGAGCTCAGGAGTTGGAGACCAGCTTGGGCAACATGGTGAGATCCCATCTCTACAAAAAATATAAAAATTAGCTGGGTGTGGTGGCACACACCTGTGGTCCCAGCTACTCAAGAGGCTGAGGTGGGAGACTCGCGTGAGCCCGGGAGGCAGATGTTGCATTGATCTGAGATCATGCCACTGCACTCCAGCTGGGTGACAGTGAGACCCTGCCTCAAAAAAAAAAAAAAAAGAAAGAAAGAAAGAAGACAATTGGGTTTATTAGATTGCAGAAGATGAGACAGTAGAGAGGACCAATTCCAGGCACTGAGTGTCTTACTCACCTCCATGGCCTTGTTATAAAGTCTGAAGTTGCTTTGCCCTAGCTCAGTTACTGACATCTTCAGTTTCTAGGCCACAATTTTGTTTCTTAATGGTGTTATAAATTCTCCAACTGGAATAGACTCAGTCACCACAAGGGGAAAAGGAAAGCGGCTCATCAAGTAGATGTTCCTGCAAAATGTAAGCTTTCAAAGTTTAGATTTTCATTGCATGTTTGGTAAAGTTTTATATTTTAAAGAATTCACATTTTAGAGTAAAGGAGCACGTGAGAGGCTTCTGTTTTATCCAAAGCATTTGGTACTAAAAATATATTTTAAAACAATCCTTTTTATTAAATTTGTTTTTAACAAGTAAAGATATTTTGACAAATTAGAAAATTAAAAGATTAAATCAGAAATATTGGCTACTGACTGCCTATAACCATTAAGTTGCCTTAGAAAGGTTGAAATTACTAATGGTTTCAAATGTTAAATAAAAAACTGATCATGAGAAAAGCCCAGTTCTCTAAGTATTTTCCATCCTTCTCGTTTGGCTTTAAAAATTGCTACTGTTAAATACAGGGAATTGACCACACAAGCGTTAGGTGATCTTGAGGCCACAAGAAGGGAAAAAAACCACAAAGTTAAGTTTAGGGAATTCTGAAGGACAGCTAGGAGAGCAAGCATGGAGTGAAAGAGAATATTCCAGTCAGTAGGAAGAGAACGTGCCAAGTAGGGTGGTGAGAAAGCAAATGTTGTATTCAGGGATACTGGTTCTGTGAACTTAGCAGTTCGAGATTTTCCTAAATATAATGTTTAAAATGTTTTTATATTGGCTATTTTTTTCTGTTTGATAAAACTTATTAAGTTTTCCTTTTTGTAGATGAAAGCCAAAAAATTCTAATATGGTGCTTATGTTGTCTGATTAACAAAGAGCCACAGAATTCTGGACAATCAAAACTTAACTATTGGATACAGGTAAGAGAGTAAATCTTGCTCTGCACTTTGACTTAAATCGATCATTTAAAGTGCTGCTTAAAAAATTTTTTAGGGGGGTCCAGTTCTAAGATGTTTCAGAAACTTTTTCAAACATACCCTTCATTGTTACATTATCTTGCTGGGTATAAAGTTTTTCAAGAGATTTCAATTTTGCTTGACTGTGAATTCCAAAAGATATCAGTCCTTGGGGTGAAGACCTAATGTTGAGTGGTTTTGAAAAGCTTCTTTCAGGTGATTAAAATAATGTGTTCTATTTCACTCTAGCAATTTCTATCCTTCAGAAAATTGTTTTACTCTCCCAACCTGGTTTAAATACTTAAGTAATTCCTTTCCACATGCTTCCCTGCCTCTTTCAAAATCTATTTTGTAGTAAAATGAAAATTCAACAGTGTGGTGGGAGCAGCACTGTATTTTGTGTCCCCAAGTTCGTGCCTGGGCCAGCATATGCACAGACCAGAACTTGGTACTGCGTGGCCTCTGCTGCTGACACTTTCCAGTTGGTTACCTACCATGCTAGTCCAGGTAGCTGACAGCTTCCTAGATTTCCCTGTTTGCTTTTGCTTCTGCTTCTGCTTCCTCCTGAAGGGCAGGCGTAAGGTGGAGATGTGGTGAGGCTGGGCTGCAGCTGCCCTCCCTAGCGGCACATGGCTGTTCTTTTCTCACTGCCTCGCTGCACCAACCCCAGGACTTGCTGATGCATGCCAAACTCCACTTAGTATGCATGTGGTTCAGATTAGTATTATGCTTAGTATTATTAGTATTATGCTTAGTATTATGAAATCATCCAACCAGATTAGTGCATATGGTTTTGTCTATCAATCTGACTGGTGATATCATTACATTCACCGCTTTTTACGATTTCTTTGTTTTAGAAAAAATTCCTAATAGAGATAAAGATGGTATTTATATTTTCTGTTAGACTGAAAGAATAGAAGGGAGTGAGGGGAATTGGACAATGGAAGGAAAAAATACAAACTTTAATTGGAAGGAAAATTAATGTAAGGAACTGAAGAAAGGAGTGGATAAGCAGAATTAGGGAAGAATGAATGTGTAACAAACAAGGCCGTAGAAACAAAATAACATATTTAGTCCTTAATTTTTTAAGTGTTGCTTTTGTTATTTGATATTTTAATGAATATTTAGCATATAATTTTATATTAGATAGCTCATTGAGTCCTGAAGTAGGCCATCTAATAAAGTGTTTTGAGGGTGATTAGGTTAACTTTCTTCATTTAACTCATGACTTTATTAGCCTATTTTAAAATTTCTAGTCTCGCATTTTATTCTTTGTTTGTCTAATACTGTATCTATTTATTAGTAGGTCCTTTTTAAGTATAGTTCAAGGAGGTAAAGTTAAAACACTTAATCTGTGCCTTCAAGGAATTCCCAGACTGGCAACCAGGTCACTCCAGGGCAGCATAGTTGGGTTATTGCTAGAGCTATGTATAGGTGTGGCAGTGACATAGAGGGGAAATTTGCTCACATGTGGGCATTTGGAGACACTTCCTGGGGCAGGTGACATGTTAATTGAATTGTGAAGGACAGCTAGGAGAGCAAGGATAGAGTTAGGGAGAACATTCCTGTTAGCAGAAACAGACTATACGAAATATGGTGGTGAGAAAGCAAATGTTGTGTTCAGGGAACTGCAGATGCTTAGGTGTACCTGGAACTTGGGGCTTTATGGGGCTGGTGATGAAGCGTGAAGCCAGAGAGACCGGCAAACACAGGCCTTGCCTATGACTACAGAAGGTTTTTATCTTGATGGCAGTGGGGCAGCCACTAGAGTATTTAAACAGAGAAATCATGGTTGGGTGCGGTGGCTCAAGCCTGTAATCTCAGCGCTTTAGGAGACCAAGGCAGGTAGATCACAAGATCAGGAGATGGAGACCCTCCTGGCTAACATGGTGAAACTGTCTCTACTAAAAATACAAAAAATTAGCCAGGCGTGGTTGCATGCCCCTGTAGTCCCAGCTACTTGGGAGGCTGAGGCAGGAAAATCACTTGAACCTGGGAGGCGAGGTTGCAGTGAGCTGAGATTGCAACACTGCACTCCAGCCTGGGTAGGAGAGTGAGATTCTGTCTCAAAAAAAAAAGAAAGAGAAATTATGTGGCCACTGTGTGAGTTTTAGAGACTTAACAACAAAAGGAAGTTGGTTGAGAGGAGGGCAAGGATAGACGTTGGAAGCTATTGTAGTGATAAGGTGAGAAATTGTGAGGGCCTCAAAAAAATGGAGAAGGGGGCCTGATTTATAAGATATGAATAAGGTAAATACCCAGAAGGTATAATGGCATACTAAATGTCGATACACTTAGGCATAGCTGGAAACGTACAGCGAGAAGGTGAATATCCCATTCTCAGGAGAGCAAGCTGATTTGCTGGCAGGGGCTTGAAAGCCACCTGTGGGAATAGTGGAAGCCTTTGGTGAGGTGAGGTCCGCCCCCAGAGAATGCTGGGATAGGGGCACAGGGGAACTCGAGAGAGCCTTGGGAGACACTGACCTTAAGGGGAAGTGAAGAATGATTGATGCTTCAGAATGCAAAGAGGGGTCCAAGAAGTAGAAGGAGGAAGCAATGGAGAATGAGTGTTCATTCATGTTTAATGCCATTCATATCTAATGCAGCACTGTCCAATAGGAATAAAATACATGCTGCATAGATAATGGCAGACTTTCTGGGTGCTGCTTTAAGAAATGTAAAAAGAAATAGTTAAAATTAATTTTAAGAAGATACTTTACTTAGTTCACTATATCCCAAATACCGTCGTTTCAACATGTAATCATTATACAAATTACTATTGAGATTATTCATGATCTTTTTCATGCTGCATCTTTGAAATCCAGTGTGTATGTTACACTAACACTTACATCTACATGTTATATCTTAATTCAGACGCTAAATTTTCTTGGAAATTCTTGATCTGCATATTTATTTCATAAAATATAGGGTTGAAAAAGTAGATTCACATACCCAAGTTGTTCCTAAGAATCTTATTAAATCAAGTATTGGTGTTTAAATTAAAATTAAAATAAAAAATTCAGTTATTTCATGGTGCTTACTGCTCTGCAGTGCTCTGCAGCCACATGTGGCAGGTGGCCGCCGTGTTGGAGAGGGCAGCTGTGGAGCATAAGGCAAAAGGATCTAGAAGTACTCTTTGGATTTAGCCACTGTGAACAAAGACTCAGTGAGAAGAGGTGTAGTGAGAGGCGGAGGGAAATAGCCAGATTACTCGAGATTGAGAAATGATGGGGAGGTGAGGAGGCAGAGTTGATAAACTTTACCCTTTCAAGAAACTTGACAGTAAAGGAGGGAGGACTTTGGTGATGAAGGAGGTGATAGCCAGACTAGGGTGGGGTTGGCTGAATTGACCAAGTCCTGGTCATGGAAAGAATGTGTGGGCAGGGAGCAGGGTAGGACATGGGAGGTTGGGAAAACAGTTTCCCTCCTCATTTACCATGCAAGCCTGAACTAAATAACATGAACCGATAAAAAGATGTCTAGGAACATGTTATTTAGCTCTTAACAATTATTATTAACATATTAATTATCTAACTCTTAACAACTCTAAAGCTAATTACATGTGTCCATCACCAATCAGTAGGTAATCTCATGTTGACCATAAATGCACCAAGACAGAAGGTAGTCATTGACTTATAAATCAGTTTACATCTCGAGTATACTTTATTTTATCTTAGAGGAGATATTTTCCTCATGGAGGTTTTAGAGTGACATAGTACATGTTAAAGATGTGTACCTTGTCATTCAGTATCCTTGTGAAAATTATAAAACAGCCATATTTTAAAATGTTTGCTAATTCATTCAGCAAGCATTTATTAGGGCCTACCATGTGCTAGGATATTCTAATTGTGGTGATAAAATCTTGGGTCATTCTGTGTTAGTGGAGCATTACAAATATGATTCAAATACCCTGAATCAAAAACCAAGAATTTCTACAGTAAATTCCAAAATTCAGTAAACATTCAAATTAATCAATAAATTTGAAAATGGTAAACTGAGTTGTATTTTTAGCACAGAGAAGAAATAATTGACACAACCTGTTAGCATATGTTACGTTGGAAACACATTAATGAAATGTTTGGGAGCTGTACTAACAACTTTGAATGTGCTGTCATAGAGCACCACCTCAATGGCTGTTCTTACAGTTCAGAGACAAAGTTCCAGGACTCTTTCACATATTTTGGGAATATGTGGTCTTGAAAAACATAGTTTTACTGGTGAATCCACTGAGCAGATACTTTTTGAGCTCCTACTGTTTGCCAGGTACTACTACAGAGGCTGAGGATATAGCACTGGATCTAGAAAGACAGTCTGTTCTCAGATACTGCAATAGAAGGGAAAGGTTTCCAGGGCCTGCCAGATGTCGGGGGATACCTGTCTTCTCTGGCAAAACCATACTACTATTATTTTTTTATTCTGATGAAAAAAACCAGCGGGGTACCAGGAACAGAGATCAAACGTGTTGTATTCTGTCTGTATTCCCTTTTGAAATGCAGTACTAAGTAATATCCAGATAGCTTCTGTCCTCTACTTCTTTTATTTTAAACAAAACTTTTAAATTAAAAAAAAAAATCTAACAAACTTACACAAAATATAAGTGCCAAGCTTAACAAATTGTGAAAGATCCTTGTAACCGCCACACAAGGAAATAGAACAGAACATTGGCCGCTCCTAGATGTCCCTGCCCGCCATGTGCCCCTTGTTGCTTTTATTCCTCTGGCCTCCTCCAGCAGTTACCACTAGCCTGGCTTTTATTTACATTTCCTCGTGGTTTTACCACTTAATTATGCCATTTGCCCTATTTTTTAGCTTGTTAGAAATAGAATAATACACTATGTATTCTTTTGTGTTTATTTTTGTTCACCATTATTTTTGTAAGATTCAGTCATGATATTGGGTGTAGTTTGTTCATTTTCATTGCTGTGTAATATTCAATTTCATGAACATACCACAATTTATTGATT